GCGGGTCTGAGTTTTATCAACAGGGCAATCTGCGGTTGAGACTAACCAGAGAAAAGGCGTGGCAAAAAAAAGTGAAGGAAAGGAGAGAGAACACATTCAAGGCCCACAAAAGATGGGAGGAGGGAGGAGAATTCTCTGCAGAAGTAATGAGAGGCAGAACAACGAAGAGAGGAGAGAGACACAGGAGCAAGGTGGGAGTCATGTTTTTACAAAGAAAAGAATGCGTGATGGCACTGAACACTGACGGCATCGATCAGGAGGATGGCAGACTACAGCCCTACAGGCTTTGCCCTAAGGAAAAGTCAGCAGAGCAGCTTCAGCGGAATGCCAAAAAGTGAAGACCAAATTTGGAGAGAGTCTATGCTGGAATGAGGGAGTGACCCCAGGCAATTTTGCAGGCTGATTCAGTGAGCTGGGAGAGGAAGGGAGGAATGCTAGTAGCAGAAGCAAGCAGGATGGTTATCTTTCATTTGCTTTACGATAAGATAGGTGAGACTACAGCATCTCTATACTACAAGGAGGAATAGCCAGGGGAAAGGGAAGGGAGAGAGACCAGGAGACTGAATAACCTGAGGTCACCGAGATGAGATGAGGGTTAGAAGAAACAGAGAAATCAAACTCCTTTGTCCCGCAAATACAGAAGGAAGTTGCAGAGGTAAGATGAAAGCCATGTTTCGCCTGTCTGTCTCTCAAAAGGACTTGGCAAGATCTTATGGGAAAAGAAAAGTCAAGATGGAGACGGGGAGGCTGCAATGAAAGCTACATAATTAGAACGGGCTGCCAAGAAGCTGTGTTTCTAGTTCTTCTCTGCAACAGTTCCTTGTAATTTCACTTCACGGAGGACAGTGGACTGCATAGCCACACTCTCCTATATTGGTCCGTGTCCTGAAGAACTTGCAAATCGAGTATTTGACAAGCACAGAGTCCTCACTGAAGTCAGCCTGCTGCTGAAATCAAGTGATACGCACCGTTGTTCAGCTCTAATTAAACTGGAGGCACATTATTTGCTCAAACGCTACCGTTTCATTTATCTGTTTGCTCCAGAAGGTGTTTTCCATTTTCCCATCGTTCTCCTGTGAAAAGACAATGCCTAACCAATTTCCAGGAAGCAGCCTTTCTGTTAAACTATTTTTTTAAAGTGAAAGGCAGATGTTGAGAAGAACAAATTAGTTAAAGTGTAAAGGCTTCCACAATACCTCTGAGAGCCATTTCAGCCCGGTGCCTTGGGAATGTGAAAACCTCTCTCTAAACAAAGGCTGCTCTGAGCGTAAATCTCATTAACATACAGGAGTCCTGCTTGACCTGACTTTGCTCTATGCTGAAGTGATTGAAACGTAGACAAGCTCCAGCAGTATGAGCAGATTTACATTAGTCTGACAGGCCGGATTTCACACAAGAATACAGTCAGTCTGTAGTGACTGAGACTATACTGAGGGAACTGTTTGGTTTTCAGAAGCTCTACGGATCGAGACACAAGTTTGAACGCATCTCTGTTTCAGTGAAAGGACTGTGGATGTTTGGAGAGGGCCCTGATCAGGACTTCACTGAGGCAGACTGTCTTTTGGGAGACTTCTAGCTGTACTTTAGAGAACAGACCCAAATCCTAGCTCTGCTGCAGATCTAACAATGTGGAAGTCAAACCCTCTAGCTATAAAATACCCTTTCCACCTGCCACTTGAACCTTCACAGAACCCCAGAAATGGTGTAGTCTGTACGAAACAAATGTCCTTCCCTTGCAGTATAGGCAACCCTGCAGATTCAGCCAACTTTAAAGAGTCTTGCTGGCTGAAGCTATTGAAAAGGGGACATTAAGTAGCAAATTCTCTCCACCAGAGAGCCTCATCTAGCAAATTTGCAATCCCGTCTTGCACAACCCATCCAGCAGATGGGGAAGCTACAGCCATTTTTTGCCACCATTGTGTAAACCCTGCCTGAAATCAAAGACCTGCTGTACCAGCCTTTCAAAATCAACATCCTAATGATCCCTCTGCACAAAGAGATGGACAGACAGGGCTCTTATCCTGGGAGAGAGAATGAGGCAGACCAGGCAGACGGCACATCAAAATTGCTAGGCGGGGGAAGAACGTATTATTTTTTGCTTAACTTTGGGAGTAGCACCAAAGGAAATACAGGCCCTAGAAGCATTCAATGTTTTCCTCCTTCTCTTGTGTCTTTAAAAACCAAATAGTGATCCTTTGAGATGACGTTGCTGGGACTGGTTACACAGAGTTCAGTTCAGAGATTGTGTTGTTTCCTTCTCGGCAGTTACCAGATACGCTGCTGAGGCTCAGAGACCTAAGAGGGTGGGAGATAATGTACTGTCTCTCCCGAGCCTTATTACCACTCTGCGGGTCAAGCTGAAAGCAAACTGGGCTCACAGGATGATGTGACCAACATCTGCTGAAATGGAGGATGTTCTCAGGAAACAGTCTGTGATCACTACAAATCTGGCATCGCTCTTCCTCTAACAAGTTCCCTTAGAAAGGATGATCAACACCTCTTTTTGAGGATGTTTTGCATGCATATCTCAATGCTGGGGAATGGCATCCCTGTACCACAGCCCTGTACTACAGGCTTGCTCTCAGAGGCAAGTACACAACCACTAACGGGACTAATTCCCAAAGAACCCCATGAGACTAGCAAACACTATCCCTCTGATACCAGTGGGGAAGGACAACAGCAAGATGGCTTTGCTGAGAGTCTTAGAGATGATCTGGTCTACTTAATTTTTAGGTCAGCATACGAGCTTTTCTTAGGAGAGTCATTACATGCTAAGTAGCTTGCCGTAGCAAGTTGGTATGTGCAGCTTTGGAACTTAGGGAGAACATCTGGACATGGGCGTCACGGAAGATGCTTCCACTCCCTAAGCAGGCAGGTGACTTTGAAATCAGGACTCCTGTGTGAATACAATTCGATGTTTTTTGGTACTTGTTAGAGTAGGAAAAGGGCCATTTCTGTCAACATTCCTGTCTGTGCACCTTTCTGTTTCAACACTCTAAAGTGAACGCAGTGGAAACTTGCTCTCCTACTTTAGGTGCTTCTTTGACACCCATTCTTGGTGAACACCACACCGTCTTCAGTGCATCCTCCTTCCAACATCCCAGGAGTTTGGGGAAATGCAATTACCCCCGATCCCCTTTTTGCCTACAAGTACGGAAAGAAGCCGTTTGCTTCAGTGAGACACGGCAGCTAAAAAACTCTGGAGAGCCGAGGCAGAGAAATGAAGAACATGCTCACGTTGGTGGCTGCCAGTGGGGCTGAATCGACATGGACTCTTGAACCTCAACTGTAGGGGACCTTGCCACAAACGACCAAGCTAACAAGAGAAACACAGACTTGCTGTCTGATGCAGTCTCGTCCCACAAGCCTGACACTGGCCCCAGACTGATAAGCTCTGCCAAGGAACTCTGCAGTCTTGAAAGTCTTTTGAAACATTTTCCAGTTTCAGCTGCATTTTCTGTTGTAGACTTGGGCTAATCATACAAGAAGACTCTGACAGAGGAATGAATTGAACATGCGACTCCCATGAACCAGTGCAGCAAACTTTAACACAACCCTCCCCTGTGACAGGAACTTCAAAATGCATGAGGGTTGGTGAATATTCACTTGTAGTATCTGCGCTGATTTGCGTTCTGTTTGCCAGGAAAGTTGGTATCTATTCTCTTCACAGGGCCGACACAAGGAACAGGCTTAAATATAAAGGCTCACTTACACCCTCACAGTTTAGAGAAAAACCCAAAGCTTACGTCCAATCTAAACAGTAGGTAGACCGTGTGCTGGCTCTCTGCAGAAGGTGGAACATCACCTTCAGAGCATCAGATTTGTTTTGGTCATGCTGGTGAACATAAGCCACATTTTACTAGTCTCGGGCTTACTAGGATCCAATAAATATGCAAATTTCCAAAATAATTAAATACACATGCCATGATAAAGCTGCATCCAAGTATATTTTCTAAATAAAAAAATCCCTCCTTGTTTGTGCCAGTCCTCTAACCAGTGGGCTGGGTAGCCTCCTTACAGACTTGAGGCACAAAGTAGACACACACAGAACGGTAGGAGCGGGTGCTGTGGACTGGCTGGGGGATTTTGTTACGTGGGTATCAGTTTTGTACTTCCTATTCTAGTTAACTAAGGGTACTTCCTCCTTCTGCTCTCTGACAAAAGGCAGGCCCATCTATTCAATAGTTTCCAAAGGGCTTGTAAAAAGCCACTCTCACCTTTGATCCACGGACATATTTGTGCTGACTGGATTGTCGAAAAAAAATTTTAAGATCATGTCTGTTAAAATATGGGTTACCCCTTGTTTTATGAGTAAATTTATATATATTATGGGGTTAATAAATTATTAATAGATGTTGTGGGAATAAATAGTCCATGTTACAGATGGGTATGAGCAACCCGTCAACACGTTGGATTTCAGCAGTCTTTAAGAATTAACCATTTATTGAAACTTATAACACAAATGAGCCATTTTACTACTGTGCCTTCAACATACGACTGAACACTGCACCTTGAGGGAAAGGGGGTTTCTCATGGCAGGCACAGCTGGGGAGGAAGAATGACAACTCCTGGCCACTAACTCCCAGTTCCTCCAGATCCTTCCCTTGTCCCTGGGCCACTGATTCAAATTGCAGTGCCTCTGTTTTCTCAGATTTAAACTGAAGATGACTTGCTTGCCTCCCAGCTGGCTAGCAAAGATTGCCCTTTGTTCTGTATTTTGAGATGTGATACAGCTTTGCAAAGGACAATTAACCTGAACTTATTTTTGCTTTCCCGTAATGGTTTCTTCAATTCCCATTAGCTTACATGAGTGTGATAAACCTCTCTCAGAAATGCTTCTTATTTAGCCCTCCACTTGAGAGAAAGTGCTTCACACATTCCTAGTCAATAACAAATCACAGCCGCAATATCTCCTCCAGTCAAAGAGGCTACTGAAATAGTAGCTTGAATTTCACCGTATGAGCAAGGAGCCACCATGTTGCCCCCCTTTTGTTACTCACTTCTGGCATGATTTCAATCTTCTCGTAGCGCCGTTTATATGGGAGAGTCAGCACCTCTGCTCTGTGGTAGGACACTGGCGGTGGCTGGCAGTCTATCATCAGATCTGTGCGATGAGACTGGGTGGGTGGTGGCTGAGTGTACTGCTCTGGGCAAACTACATGGAGAGGCTGGAAAAGAAGACTGTGGTGACACAGAGAAACATCTGGCTGATTCTGTGCACTGCCCTATACCATATCTATATTGCAATTGTTGCCATAATGAGGTTTGCAAAATGATCTTTGCAAGCTAACTTATTTGTATGAAAATAACATACGAAAGATGCAACCCAGAAGATCTAGTCGGGATTGGAATAAACTGTTCAAGGAGCAGGCAGTCTTTGTTCTGTATATAAAAACTATCCAGAGTAACAAGACCTAAATTTGTGTCTGTAATCACCACTTCAGTATCAGCAGTCGGTCATGTTAGATGCCATAAGGGGAGAAAATAGTAAAACATTCAATAGCTTTGTCTTCCAAAATCTTGTCATCTAAATTGGAACCAAATGTCAGTGGGGACCCTCATAAAATGGCATGGTGCAAGGCAGACCTGTATCAAAATGTAAGACTGCAAATATTAGTCAAATGGGCAATTCTGAGTTTTCATAAACTGTCAGCAATATATTAACAAAGCATGTAACAGGTTGGTTACCACAAAGATCAGCACAGGATTTAAGGAACCAAAGGACAAGACATTGTTTCTGCAAACCATTTTCGAAACAGCATTATGCTTCAGTAGTAACATGGAAGAAGACACTTGTCAGAGAAACAGGCAATGGCAACGGCCATCAGTTGTGGAGCAGCAAGCTAGGTCACCAAAAAATGACAAAAGATCACAGAGAATCACAGAATGGTTGAGGTTGGAAGGGACCTCTGGAGATCATCGAGTCCAACCTCCCTGCTCAACCTGGGTCCTCCAGAGCATATTGCCCAGGATCGCGTCCAGGCGGGTTTTGACTGTCTCCAGGGAAGGAGACTCCGCTACCTCTCTGGGCAACCTGTGCCAGTGCTCTGTCACCCTCACAGTGAAGAAGTTTGTCCTCAGGTTCAGACGGAACTGCCTGCGGTTCCGTTTCTGCCCGTTGTTTCTTGCCCTGTTGCCGGGCATCATGGAGAAGAGTCTGGCCCCATCCTCTTGACGCCCTCCCTTCAGATATCAACACACATTGACGAGATCCCCTCTCACTCTTCTCTTCTCCAGGCTAAACAGGCCCAGCTCTCGCAGCCTTTCCTCCGAGGAGAGATGCTCCAGGCCCCTCATCATCTTAGCAGCCCTCCGCTGCACTCTCTCCAGGAGTGCCGTCTCTCTCCTGTACTGGCGAGCCCAGCACTGGACTCGAGTACTCCACATGTGGCCTCCCCAGGGCTGAGGAGAGGGGCAGGATCCCCTCCCTCCACCTGCTGGCAACACTCTGCCTAAGGCATCCCAGCGTACCACTGACCTTCTTGGTCACAAGGCACACTGCTGCCTCATGCTTAACTTGTTGTCCACCAGCACTCCCACGTCCTTCCCTGCAGAGATGCTTTCCAGCAGGTCAACCCCCAGCCTGTCCTGCTGCATGGCGTTATTCCTCCCCAGGGGCAGCACCCTGCACTTGCCTTGGTTGAACTTCAGGAGGTTCCTCTCCGCCCACCTCTCCAGCCTGTCTGATGAATATATTGAACAAGACTGGACCCAGGACTGGCCCCCTGGGGCACACCGCTAGCTGCAGGCCTCCAACTTGACTCTGCACCACTGACCGCAACCCTCTGAGCTCTGCCACCTAGCCAGTTCTCAGTCCACCTCACTGTCCACTCGTCTAGCCCACACTTCCTGAGCTTCCCTAGGAGGATGTGATGGGAGACAGTGTCCAAAGCCTTGTTGAAGTCCAGAAAGACAACATCCACTGCTCTCCCCTCACCTACCCAGCCAGTCATTCCATCAGAGAAGGCTGTCAGATTGATCAAGCACGATTTCCCTTTGGTGAATCCATGCTGACTACTCCCGATCACCTTCTTGTCCTCCAGATGCTTAGTGAGGACCTCCAGGAGGAGCTGTTCCATCACCTTTCCAGGGATGGAGGGGAGGCTGACAGGCCTGGAGTTTCCTGGCTCCTCCTCCTTGCCCTTTTGGAAGACTGGGGTGACATTGGCTTTCTTCCAGGCCTCAGGCACCTCTCAAGATGACCCAGACATTGTTAAAAGGTTTGAAAGAACAAGTAATTTTGTATTTTGACAAGCTAAAGATAGATCCAACAGAAAAGCTCTGCCAGAAAAATACCGGGTATTGCTTTTAATTGTGTTATGAGTCAGAAAGCAAATTTCAACAGAAACAAACTGGATAGAAAAGGAGGGGCTCAGACATATGCACTAAGGCCATAAAGAGTCAAGGAGGGGAACACAGAGCCTACATGAACACTCTGGCATTCTTCTGAGACAGAAGTCCAGATCTTGCAAACGGGGTGAGGAAAGCAACAGATTTGGAAGAGACACAAGAGTGGAAGTCCAAAGCAGCAGTGCCAGGACCAAGGCAAGGACCAGCTGCAGGCATAAAGAGCCAGATATGAAGACTGTGAAAGCTGAGGGGCTCTGAGGATGTTCAGCACCTGGCACTGGTGAACCTTTAGACTATATTAGACACAGCCAGGCACATTTATACAAATAGGAAAAAGAATAGGAGAAAGAGTGAGTATATCTATACGTACCTAAAAATGAGGACAGGAATGTATACCTCATCTGCTCTGCATTCTGAACTCCTAGGGATCCTGTAGCCACTCTGTGCAGAGACTGGCAATGACTTCATACTTATTTTGGAGCAGGATGCTAAAGGAGAGCTCAGTGCTGTGTGTTTTCTCATGGAAAGGGAGATATGTGTGTTGTCTTGATTTTGCCATTGTTTAATGCAAGACGTTCATAATCCAACTATTTATTTCAAGCGTGTGAAGAAATGTAAGACAACAGAAATTCATTACCTGGACTTCTTTGAGTAATTTAGACACTTGAATAAAATTCAGTCTTGTGTCAATGGGGCAGTAGACACATTTCATAGCCAAAGGTTGATAAGGAGCTAGGGCATCCAGATAAGAGAAATCCGGTTCTGAAAAGAGAAGTGTTGAAAACACTGAATGCCTCTTATGAACAAAGATTGCTCCTCTCTCTGTTTTCATGTTCTGGTCTAGACAAGCTGTTGTTCAGTAACGTTAATTCTGTTATAGCTATTTCTTCCTTCCCGGACCCGTTATTTTCAGTTAATTTGATGAAAATTATGCCCACAATTAGTCTTACCTTAATCAAGTAATGGAGCAATTCTACTTCATTTGAACACATTATGGCATGATTTTTATAACAAATTTAATCAAGATAAAAACATCATCTCTTACTTTTAATCAGATCCTCTAAAAAAAGGCAAGATTCATAAAGCTTTTTAGTATCACAAGGTAACCTAAATGTCAGCTTGTTTTTTACTATCACAAAAACACAGCATAAACATCGCTATCTTCGTGAACCTGTACAAATGTCCCCTGCTGCAGACACATTACCTCCAAACCCCCATTTTCCTTACAGTAAATATATATTTATTTCTATCTAAGCGTTAGGCTTAGACTGATGGAAAAATGAGGATCTAATCATCAAAATTTTAACATAACCCACAAGCATCTGGAGGAAGCCCTCCCATTGGAGGGACAGTCAGTTGGGTTTTTTACAGTTATGCCAACAGAGCCACTAGCACAGGTCAGGATTAGCTGAAGGCTGCTCGCAACAGGGGCTATCCAGAAGCTGAGATAGGCTGTGACGTGATTTCACACATCTTCCTAGAGGACTGACACCTTCCACCTAAAGGCCACCAGAACTTGTACTGCTGGATATCTTAACAGAATCACAGAATCGCAGAATGGTTGAGGCTGGCAAGGACCTCTGGAGATCATCTAGTCCAAATCCCTTGCTCAACCAGGGTCACCTACAGTACCCAGGCCCCTGTCCAGACAGCTTTGGAATATTTCCAAGAATGGAGACTCCACAACTTCTCCGGGCAACCTGGTCCAGTGCTCAGTGACCCGCACAAGAAAGAAGTTTTTCCTCCTGTTTAGGCAGAACTTCCTGTGTTTCACGTTGTGCCCGTTGCCTTTCATCCTATCGCTGGGCACTAATGAGAAGAGTCTGGCCCCGTCCTCTTGACACCTTCCCTTCAGATACTTAGATACATGTTCAGATACACGTACCCACCCAACTCTGGGGATCACTGATCGAATGATGTGCAGGAGCTTGTGCTATCACTATCTACCTGAAATTATGGTGAGACTGATCACGTAATGGGAATGGCAAAAAAAGAAAAATTAGTGTTAGCTTGGTAAAGCAGAATGGGTGAAAAAAATGACAAGGGGATGCATCAAAGATTGTTATCTGTTAAACTAGTCTGAACCACAGGGCCTCAAAGGGCAACCTGCAGGGTGAAGTACAGTTTTCAACCAGCAAGCTTTGCTAGGAAAAGGTATGAGGTACTTCTCTAGCATCTACTCAGAATGTGTAAAATGACAAACTTTCAGGAAACTTAAATACAGAGACTTCAGTCTTGGTTTAATAAGTCGCACGCACATTCTAGTCTTCCCCTGGTATCTGCTACCTGCCATGGTCACAGGCAGAGTGCTGTCTGGCAGACTTTCAGTCCAACCCTACACAGCCATCCTCTGTGTTCTTACTTCACCCTGAGGAGAGCACTTGCTGGATTTCTTATGCATCTAGCAAGAAAAAAAACCCTCCTCAAAACCTTACCACAGGAAGTTCAGCACAAGCTTGGTGTCCAAAATTCAATATTGGTCTTTATTCTACTGATAAAGACAAGTTATTTGCTAGCCTAAAAATCTGTTGCTGGCTAGGTACCAACAATCATGATGTGGTTTTATTTACTCTGTGAGAACAGAATGTAGCATCAACCAATGATGCATATATTTGGAATTGTAAAAGAGGCACATTTCCAAAGTTTAAAGCAATTGTCATCACAACTGCCTGGAAACATCAAAGTGAGAAACATTAACAAACAATGATCGTTTTACAAGAACATCTTACTGGATGCCCCAAAAGTCATAAATCCACAAACATGAAATAAAAATTATACCAGGCAAAAAGCCATCCTAGTTAAAAGCAGATGTGTTAGTGACAATGAAACAAAGTACAAAAAGACTGATGTAAAAAGTGGGGGGGGTTACTGGTAATAAGTTTAACAGCAATGAATAATGAGAAGGCAGTTAGCTGAAAAATGATCCAGTGGTCAATCAGGCTTAAATCAGAAGACCTTTTAAAAACATACTGGGTTAAAAAAGAAAACCTAAGTCAGGCACAGGTCCTCTGCCAGAGACGTACAATAAAATAGTAAATAACGAGTGAAAAAAAATTATTGGAATTGAATTTTTTCATCCCGTCTGGTGTGGATGACACACAGATTTGACTGCTTGTATCTGAAAACATTTTTGAATAAATAAGCCTGGATAATCTACAGATTTGGATTTTTTGATCTAAAAATCCAAAAAGGCATCCAAACTATGATCTCTCTGAACAACTAAGAGAGCCTAAGTAGTCTTGGAAAAATGAGAAATTCTAATGAAGAACTCCTAATACTAATTCTAACAAGTGAGTTTGAACATTTAGAAAAGGTGAAAAACATAACTTGTGCTAGTCTTAAAGCGAACCATGTGAGATAACAGAGTAGCTGTTTTGGCACTACCAAAAAAACCAGAAGTCAACAGTTGCATGGAAGACAGCACTTGTCAAGGACACATTTTGACTTTTTCTGACAGAATTGCAAGTCTTTAGCTTTCTCCCAAGACATCTGATTTACTACTGTGTGACACTTCAGGTTATAAAATCTTCCACCGAACAGCACTAATGTGGCATGCATGAGCTGGTTTAAGATCTCCTAGGGAGCTAGTTTTTAAAGCAATGTTGCTATTGGAGAGACAGCAAGAAGCAGACTTCTTTCTATAATGCTTTCTTCTAGAATTTCTTTTTGGCCTAGTGGTATTCAATATTTCAAATCAATAATCTACTCAATACTGCTTTAGCGGTAACATTTGTAGATAACACAAGCAAGCTGAGCAGCACTACAGCTTAGTCACAGCTGGTGTCCTGTTTATTCGCCGCAGCTGTTTTTTTTAGTCTATATTCTTTCATCCTTGTTTTTTACATTACAAATTGGAAAGGTGGAGACTACCTCGGTTCTGCGGACTGAACAGGCAGTGTCATCATTAACAATATTTCATGGCTAGTAGTTTAGAGGTCTTAATTACCAGACGCTAGGAGCCTTTCAGAGCAAAAGCTAGAATGTCATCTGCTAGCACATACTGCTTCAATGGACCACATTTCTTACACAACTGCAGGGGATTTTATCTTACAACAGGAGAAGCTAGATAATTAAATAATATAAATCCAAGGAATCAATAGAGGTGCTTCAGATTTCCTCTGGAGTTACTAAGAACAGAAGAATTTAATCTGCTGGGAATTTATGTAGACAAATGTAGGCAAAGAAGAAGTCTTTGTTCCAGCTGAGACAGTCATAATGGAAGTAAGAGCATCCTGCTGAGTGGATACCTATACAGAGAGAGACAAAAACCGCAGACAAAAAGCCACAGACAGATAAATTTAAGAAACAAACCACAACAAGTGCCTGGAATTGCTGTGCACTCCAAGGTCACTCAAACAACCAAAGCGGATCACAACTGGCGTTTCATTTGAAGGATAAACTCAGAACGAATCTCAAAGACCATGACCTGATGCATCCACAGGTTGTTACAGCGTCCAAAATAATGCATAACTATATTTCGCCAACTACTGTCATTAAGGCAAACCTCCTGAAACTACTCCGAAGGTAGGAGCGATGGGTTCTCTAACAGCTGCCACATCAGTGCTCTGGTACCGCACATTTCCCAACATGAGCACAGTCTTTAGACTCAAGCAAGAGGGCCTTTTCAGCGAGCAAGAGGGTCACCTGCGCAGCAGGAACCCCAACTTCTATCCTCCCTCCTCTTGCAGCAGCACTAGTTACACACTTCTCTAAGTCTACCAGTATACTTTCCAAATTGGTTTAACAGCCTCATGACACTTTGTGATACTTATTGGTACCTATACTGTGAAAGAGTCAAAAGGACTTGCCCATCACTATCCTGAAGTCTACAGCTAAAAAAAAGAAGAAAAAAAAAAGCAGGAAATAACCCTTTCCCAATCCTGTTTGCTTTAGGAGGTTATGTGCTTTCCAGCAGTCTTAGTCACTAGAAAAAAAAAGGGAAAATAAGTTTAACGTTGGACTTTATCATGCCCTTGCTGTGGGATAGGTTTGATCAGAGTTCTCCTCCCCATTTCTAATTACCTTGGCCTAGTCCAAAATACACATCTTTTAGCTGTCTGAGAGTTATATATAAAACTTATCCTGATTATACCAGAGCTCTTTGCATACAAAATCAGTAGCACTGGTCTAAAGGATTATTTTCTTTCTGATGTCTGAACACTGCCCACTGTAGGGTTCTGTTTTGTATTACACGTTGTTCATAAGAAGGAGTTATTTGGACAGAGTGTCAGTGTCACTCAAATAGACTTTTCTTTTGAAGCATTTCAAAAGACGACCCTGGAAGATATCTCCGTTGCTAGGTCTCCTAGATGCTTCATGCTTTCCCTTAAGTACTTTGTCTTGCTACTAATGACTGGCATTGTCTCAGCATGCAACCGTCCCAGTGGTTTGCAGACTGTGGCTCATTCTGAGGTGGATAGGGCTTGGTTCATTAAATCCATTAAAATTAGGGTCAGCACTAGAAGCAGACTAGGAGAAGTGGAGGAACTTAAAGACAGGCCTGTTGTGCCCCTGGCAGCCTGAGTCATTGAGAAGGCAAACAGCTTCCCTCGGTATCATTTAGAGCTCTCTGCAGCTCCAGATACAAATGTGTCTGTCAGCCAAAAGCAAAAGGTAGGTGGAAAAAAAAAAAAAAAAAGAAACCCTCAGCCAAATGGCATAGACCACTACTGCCAGGTCCTTGTGGGCTGAACACTCCTGGAAAACCAGAGATGACAGAAACATCTTTAGAAACAGACAGCTGTACAAGCTTAAGGTAGAGTCAAGCAGGAGTATGAGGCTTTGATGACGGGGTAGGAGAAGGGAGGAGGAAAGGTGTGTGACTCTTGTGGAAGATGGAGACGAAGTGTTTCTCCTCTCTGACCGGTATCAATTAGGTCTTGCCTGAGTTTAACTTGCAGCCAGCTGCTTTTAATCCAAAAATTAATTTCCTGTAGGCATTTTACTGCTGTGCCTAACAAGGATTTTGCTTAGAAACAGCAAGGATTGACTCTGCATGGCAAAGGTTGGCTCTGCAGGGCTAACATGAATTAAATGGCACAATAATTACATCTGTCACTACAGTCAATCCTGGGGTCTTAATTTAGACGAGTTCCTGCTGAAGTCAGAAACTTCTGCACCAGAACAAATGACTGAAGCCCCTAGGATGTGACCACACTGAACCAAAGTGCATAACCTATTGCTAATTCAATACTCTGAACTGCCCTTTACTTACCTGTGAATATAACAGTGTTCAAGCTAGATTTTCCCCATAACTCCATAAAATGAACCACATCCCCAAATCGAAGAGAGGGATGTCCAGTAAACACAACACATGGCTGCTTGAAGTCATTGCTGAAGTCTCCATGGATGCTCGGATAATGTTTCAGTTTGTTTGTCTGAATGAGCTGAAATAAAAAGAAGAATCCAGATATTACAAACTTGCCATGCCTCTGTGCTTTGTAGCCCTATGCGCTTATTTCCATGAGATTATAAATAACCTGCAGGTTATCGATAATCCATCACAGAGTCCCTTCCTGCATATTCCCTAGATTTTCCGTCATATTTAGTCATTACTGCCCTAAATGTCACAAAAAGGAAGTCAGAGCATGGGGCCAGGAGCTTCAGAGTACTTGTTCTCATTTCTTTGGTACCAGTGGTAACTTTCGGAGATGAAATTCTGCAAACACTCCCTGCTTAAGAGTTTCTTGACATGAACAGAATGCTCAGCTGGCACATTCAAAATAAACTGCTTTTTCCTATTTCCAATGTCTACAAACAGCTCTGTGCTCTGATGTTTAATCTGATTTTCTTGCATCGCAGTAGTACCAGGGAATTCTGCCCTCAGCAGTGTGTTACTATGTGTTTCATTGGCATAATAGGGCCAACTAATAGGTATAACAGGTCCTCCAGAAAAAGATAAGAAAGAATAGACTCCGATTTGCCCTCCTTTAACTATTGTTGAACGTAATAATAACAACGAACTAAGCGCAATAAGAAGTACTTGTCATTAGAGTAGGCAAACAGAGCATAATTGGCTATGCACAAGGAACAGAGTTCTTTACTAAGATGGGGAAGTTTAGTTACGAAGGCACTTTTTGAATTTTGAAGGAGAGTTTTATTTATCCTGCCTCTGCTTTCTAATCTGTAAAGCAAAGTTGAACTTAAAAAGCAATTTAATAGACTAGTCTGCCAAGCACATCCATGCAACATTTGGCAAGTATTTTCTTGGTATGCATATGCTCCTGTCCTTAGCAAGAAAATAACTGTAAATCCGGTTCTTCCTTAAAAACATATGATTTAAGACAATGAAATCAGAGGTTAAACAGCTAACAAAATACAAGGAAATAACAGTGTGAAAGAGCAGAACAATACTTTGTCAGCCAGTTTTTAAAGGAGGTGAGACCCTTCATCAAAGATCTCTCCACGTGCTGCTGTCCCCTGCCAGGCGTTGTTGCAACATCACCCACAGCCAATATCACTTATGAGCAAATAGCTTGCTCTTCATTACGTGTTGTAACATGATGGATACATCATGCCTTCCTCTGCAGAACGCAGAAACCTCTGCCATTCTGGACATTTCTCTTCGTTGTAACATATTTGGTCTCCAAAAGAGGAACAAAAAAAAAGATGGTTATGATAAGCAAGTCTCCTGGTCTCTCAAAGCTGTAATTCACCTTTCCATATTCTCTCCTGTTTGCCACTTTTTAACATGGCAGACCTAACTCAGGCAGTGTGCCTACACGGATATGAAAAAGAAAGCTGAGGCCGTGTCTTTAAGCTTCTTAACAATATATGGGCAACAAAGCACTTTGGATGTTAAGGCTATTGCACAATTTGGTTCTTAACACAGTGGTTCAGCACTGCTGAACACAATATCAGCCCTATGAGACTCAATTTCTAGCTGTCACTACCTAAAGATATGCTTTGGTGCTAGAACAGGCAATGTATGAACTTAGCCTCAATACCCTCTCAGTAACAGAAAGTTGGCTGGTCATAGGTGCCAACATGTATATTTTCTCCTTTGCTTCCCCGAGTTTGTTCGGCTTCGAGTTCCTCACAGCAAAAATGTTGCTGTTACCTTGCATCTCTGCCTTCCTACACATCCTGCTTAAAACTGCTGAGTGACACCTGAATGGGTAGAGTGGAATGAGATTGGCATCATTCCTTCCGAGAAACTGTAGGTAGGCACAGCCCCTTATCTCCATGTGCATCCTTGGATCCTGAAGGAGGATCCCACGGGCACTCCATTTTGTGCAGGTTGCTAGTAGTGTTAAATTTCAGTTTAGTCTTCAAAAGGGAAATTTGAATATGCATCCAATAACTGCTCTGGCAGTTAATACCCACTCAATCTAGCAAACATTCCTGCAATTAAGATTAGTAAAGGTTTCTGACTAACAAATCTGGAGTACAATATTTACAATCTGAATTTATCTTCAGTAATAAAAGCTGCAGTTTAGCAGACAATGGGAAAAACGAATTTGCCCCATAAAATACTGACATTCAAAAGAACAGAGAGGAAACAGTCCCATTAAGCTAAATACCTCACACTTGTTTTTGTGAGGGAAGTCAAAAGCCCCAAAACTGAATTTGAGAAAGCAGATTCAGTTGAGTATACAGGGAGATTTTGGCTCCAAACACTAAGTGGGGTATGTGACACTCCAGGCCAAGTCTTTGTCAGGGACCAGCAAACAGCTATGTGAAAGACATTTCTACAACTAGCGTTTACGTAATGCACTTCTGAAAATCACAATGTTCTTCCAGCATCCTGATTCACGGACTCCTTAAGATTATACATATTTGTGTACTGAGGCATTCCTATCTTAGCAAAGATGTGAGACCTGCATTTTAAGCGCAAAAGCATTACCAATCACCTATTTCACTGCTAAACCTATACAAATGTTCACTGTATGTTTATAAACATAAAAAGCTGTATTCTTTTCAAAGCTTTATTGCAGCTTCAAATTGCTTCCTGTTGCTTTAAAAAGAGACACAGGTTCTCTAATCCAGTTTTCAGGACCTTGGGCATTGTATGTCGTTTTTCTTTTTTCTTTTCTCTATCTCCAGCAACACAACATCCTCTAGCACAACGCTGCGGTGCACTGCTCCTAGCTGGGGTGCACTGTGCTAGCTCAAGAGGGAAGAGGGACACATGTTGAATCCTCAGCACTACACCCTGAGGCAGTGTGTGGTGTTTTTTCCATCTTTTTTATTTTTCCTGTCTTTGGAAATCTTTGTAAGTGCGGTGAAGCTCCATACGCCAGCTCTCTGATCCAGACAGCGAGATATAGCAAGGGTGAAAGGCCACAAAAACAAATTTAGAGACATTATACTCACTCCAATAATAAAGAAGCTGGTAGACTTTAGTATCTAGAGCAAAATCTTTCCCAATTACCCAGTCAAAAATATATGGAGCTGAACTTGCAGAATAGGTCCAACAAATCTTCATAAATCATTAAGAGGACTCAATTTGCAATGATCTGTACAGATCTTTGATATCTAGAGAAGCAATGGGCTGTATAAGCACAACACCCATTACTGAGTCATGTTCAGATCTCCAGCCTGCACCAAGCCTGGGCCACAAACAAAGCCTGGCCTTTAGCCAATCCATATTTTCAAAACTGGTCTGATTTCTGGAAACCTGGAACAACATTCGGAGCATCTTTCTACAGAAATAGCCATTATTGACAGAAAGCTTAAAAGATAGAGAGGATGGTAAAGTACCGAACCCAGACGGAGGAGAGCTGTGGTTTTTTAAATCCCAAACAGTTATGCTTCCCTTTAAAGCAGTACACTTGATTTACAGGGTCAGTAACTCTTGCTATAAACGGGATAAACCTCCAGAGTCTTTGTGTACCTCTTACTGAAGTGAGCCAAAATACACTGCTATTTGTGTGCGTGCGTGCATGTGTGCGTGCGTGCAACCTCCAGAGTCTTTGTGTACCTCTTACTGAAGTGAGCCAAAATACACTGCTATTTGTGTGCGTGCGTGCATGTGTGTGTGTGTGTGTGTGTGTGTGTGTGTGTGTTTGTGTGCTCGCGCGCACACACAGGTACGTGTGTCCTGTATCCACAACTTTAGACAGATGTGGCTCTTACCGACGAATCAGTGATGCACCTACTGCTCCACCTCCCTCCCTCCTTTCAAGAGGCCAGTGCTGACAGAGGCCTAATGCTGTATAATACTGTGTCACTTGGTTCTGGGTATTTATTGCTTTGAATGTGATATGCAGGAATCGGTATATGAAGGGGGGAAGTAAAGACGAATGCTAATATTTAAGACCACAGAAATCAATTATTTCTCCCACCCTAGCTATTTTCAGTCAGAAAAACAGGCATTTGCTAGCTATTCCTCCTTGGTGTTCCTAACAGAGTCTTATTAAGAGGGCAGTAAATCCAAATTCTTCCTCCACTAGCAAAATACTACCTCTACAAATATTGATCAATATAAATTACCTCTTAAATTTTTCTATTGTGGGCATTTTAGGGAAGCGTTGTAAAGGCTGGATTCACTACCCCGATAGCCTGAAATCCGCTATGTAAACATTGAACAGAGAGAGGAAAAGGGAGTGAAAGCTTCTCTTCTCGCCTTGCTAGAACAATTCAACTATTCACTTATAAAGCCTCTGCCGCCACATAAGGTGCAAGGTCTACAATCCATGATTTCTGTTCAAATGGGCAGGGAGGTGACTTCAGCTGTGGTGTTAGGATGAGATGTTACCATGCCCTCATGGAATTTGGTAAAACACCACAATTTCGTTCCGGGATACCAGAGAAACATTTCTAAACAAAACAAATTACCGTCCCACAGCTTTTCAGGCAGACGTTGTGGAGCTTAAATCCAAGCCTGTTTAGACAGCAGACTCTACAACACAGCTGAAGCAGCGTCTTGGAAGCGAAAGCCACCATTTCCTTTGGCCAGCCTGCTGTACTCACAAACATTTGGGAACTCTCATTTTTACCTTAGCAGAAGCCTCCAGCATTAATTGCCGTTGGTGCTCCTGCCTTCCCTTCCCCATCACAATAACTACTGGGGAAAAACTGAACTGCCACTGTTGCAGAAGCATAGGGGAGAGCCATTTGCAGAGCGATCCATCCCTTCCCTAATTCACTGTTTCTCCACTCC